CTAAGGTTTTGTTCCCACAGAGAAAAACTGAAAAATCAGTTCTTCCACAGCACTATTTAAGAGCAAGTATTATGAAGCAGCCTTTAATTAGAAAATCGTTTGCTATGTTTTTCCTCAGGACACCAATTCAATTCAATAAAAACATGCTGACATAAATATTCCTAGGTGCCAACAACTTTGCGTAACATCAGTACTTGACTGCACTCCAAAGCACAGAGACAACCACGTCAGTTTTGAAACTGAAATCCTGTAGCAACTGACCAAAGGTTTTTGAGAGGGTTGAGAAGGTTTCCAAGGGAAATTCAATTTATACAGACAAACTAAGACAAAAGGGGATAATCAATAGTTTAAAAGCCTATGCAGAAAATAGGTGTAAGTTTTTATGTCAAGATAAAAACAGATTTGAAAAAATCCCACTCACAAGCTAAATTATTTTTGATTCCAGGAGCAACAAGATACTCAAAACCGTTCCTAGAATATTAACTTATTTGGCAGATATCAAATGTACTTCTACTTTACCATATTCTCTGCTTGCCAACAAGAGTGGCACTGAAGATTGTGATGATGCTTCCATAGAAAAGGCAAGTTTTATCACCGCAGGGGCAATACCAACTCTGGGACTTGGAAAAAGTTTATTCCACTATGAAATTTCTGCCTTGCTTTTTATTAGAACAAACAGAAGTTACTGCCTTAATCAGGAATCAGTACTGTATCACCAAAATCCATCGCAGGACTCTTCCCAGCAAAATCTCAAACTAAATTCTTGTTAGTGAACACACACTATTATTAGTGCTACTGCAGTCTCCATCAGAGATGCAGAGAAGGAGAGGAGAAAGTAAGGAGGAAAAGGCAAAATTCAAAAAGACCCACCATCTTGAAGGGCACTGAAACACACTAGTTATCACTAGTCTCAAAGTGGCACTAACCAGAGAGTGCCCAGAAGTTCAAAGTAATCTTTGGTGTCAAGTATTCAATGGATTCCCTGTCCTGGAAATTATCTATTCCCCTTTCTCACTTAAAATCTTGACAAAAAGATGTACAGACATTGCATAGGTGCAAAAAGAGGGCCTTCTTTCACACTCATTGAGCAATAATCAGCTTCATGGTTCACATACCTTTTGTTAATGTTGTGAACTGTTTTATAACTTTCCGCATTAGTGTTATTTTCAAATAATCACCAAAATTCTAAATCTATTCCTAAAATTGCCTTTTAATGTAATAAGGTTAATATTAAACTAGTCTAGCAGCTAATATAGGCAGACAGTGTATTGTAATGCCAACAATCTAAGAATATATTCCAGAAAGAAGTTGTTAATATGTCCCATAACAATTTTTGTCGGATGCTGAATTTAAATATAGGCAAGTTTCTGAATATGAAGTGTTCAGCCAAATATAAAATTAAATAATTTTCCTAAACTAGAAACTTTCCAAACACAGCAGTGTGCAGGACTCTCCCTGAAAAGGAGGTTCACCTACCATACACAGATATATTAGCTTGCACAGACTAAAAGCTAAATTTAATTTTTAGAGCAAAAAAAATCGTGGATGTTTGCCAGTTTAAAGCCCAAAGCAGACTTGTTACTATCCTGATAAAAAGCCCTGTGTATAGGACAGAATTTCATTCCACCTTTACTTAAAGAACTGCTTGGCTCCATAATGTCTGTATGATGTATTAAAAAGTCTGAAAAACAGGAAGAAGAAAAAGTTTCAGGTCTTTGAAATAGCATTTTCCACCCTCCCTCTCAATAACTTGGATGAGTTTTACCCTACTTGGTATCTTCTGTTCTTAAAAGCGACTCTCATAATTCTCCTCCCACACAAATTCAGTATTTAAAAAAAAAAAGGCAAAAAAAAAAAAAAGGCTTCTAATCTGCATCAAAATACATTTTGTGTAAAGTATTCTTCAGTTTACTTCCTACAGGGATCAAATACAAAATGCTTTTGATTGAAGTGACAGAGCTTTAGTGCCTAGTAACTGTGAATAGAAAGACCTTCTTAGCCAGATAGTCACATGAACACACAAGATAATTTACTAGTCCTAAGGAAGCACCTAAATTAAAAGCCATCAGCATCAGACTGAGTTTTTACATTTACTAGACGCTTCAGAGAAGATCTATGTCTCCTCTGGAATACTACACTAAGCCTGAACAAACATGATGCGAGAGACAAGATAAAGGCAGAGCAGGGAAACACCTATGGCAAGTAACAAGGAAAAAGAGGAGGATAAAAATCCATTAAACTATTAGCGGTATGAACGGAAATCCATCTCATTCCCATTCAACAGCAATTCCCATGACAGACTTTACACCTTAAGGTGGTGGAAACCAGAACTGTCCATAATGCATCTTTATAAGCTTTCCTCCCCTAGACTCCCTCAGTTAAAAACCAAAGTTCCATGGGTGATTAAGCCCATCAAACCCAAGTCTACACCAAACCATGCACTCTGACCCAAAGAGAGATTAGATGAACTGAGAGCTAACTGCTATTCAGAACTGAACTGGAAGCAGCCATCATTATTTTGGTCTTGATTGTTCATGATGTAATGACTGTATTAAAAAAATCCATAATTTTAAACAAAGAGTAAGTAAGTATATGAAGTTCTTACCACCTTCTCTGCAGCAACAAGATTTTCAGAGCAAAAGCATGGTGGAATATATGCTGTATCTAAGCATTAGGGCTGAAATACATTCATCGTAGCAGACAAATCAAGTCCCTAATCAGGCCAGGTAATACCTGGTACAAATATAGTAAATAGCTCAATCTTTCTTGGCATGTTTCCAATTTTTACCTTATTATAATTAATCCAATTTATGTCAGTAATTAAAAAAAGGGCAGAGACTACTACTTATTGTTATGAGTCCTATTATTTTACAAAACAAAGTGGAATAAATTTTATGGCTTTCCACAGCAGCATTACAGAGATCTCACAAAAAAGCTCTCCTTACACTCTTTTGAACTAAAGCCAAAAATGATTATGTGGTTCTATTATTCTACCTGGAAAGCAGCCACAGCTTGCTAGGTATCACTTCTGCAAGTATTGCTCTCAAGCACAGAAAAGTCTGACTAGATAGTTGATCAATATTGAAGTCTTACATTTGCAGTAGATAGAAATGACAGATCTGAGGTAGCAGTTTTATTAATTCTGCTAATGAAAAATGTTGTGCCACCTGCCAGAGAAATGGAGAATTGCTGCTTGCTTAGAACCCTACGAGTACTTTTTTTTTTTTTTTACTTATTAGATTAGGATTAGCATCCTGTAAACACCGTTTTAAAAGCAGGCTTTATTCATATGCAATGTACTCTCATCGAATCTCAGACAATCAGCTGGCAGTATTTTTGCACAATTTCTACCAAAGGTGAGTTCTAGTTGAGAGGTATGCTTAGCAATGAAATGTGAATAAAACTGAGATTTTGAAAACCTTCACCTGTTAAGTTAAACGAGACAACAAAAATTAAGGACAAATGTGAAAAGGTACCAAGCAGCTTTAAAGCAGAAGATGCTTTTGCCATCAAAAAAGCACTTCCATACCATTATCCCATTTCCAGTGGAAATCTCAGTCCCAGACCTCTTTACAAATCATGTACAAACAGCAGCTCTACTCAACTCATTACTAACATTAGTTTTTTAGTTATGATGGTGCACAATCCCTGTCTCTTCAGCTCAGTTTCCCCTGGGCTGAAGCCTGCAACAGAAGCTTGCTAAAAACCACAATGCTTTCCCTCCCAAATGGAAACTCCAATATTTTAATATTTAGAATCACTCTAACAGACACCATTTCCCATCATTTAACTGTGCGTTAAAAAAAAAAGTTTTCATAAAGGTGCATGCAGTGAACTGTACCTCATTTTCGCCACAGTCAGAAGGTGTATCCTTGTGTATAGCCATCTGATACTTGGCAAATAAAGTGGCTGATTGGTTGAAGGATGATTTGAACTGGGGGTCCTCAAAGGAGACAGGTACTAACCTCACCTTCAGAGCAAGGAAAATACAGGCATACTATTTTAAGTGCATATAATCAGATAATATGCTTCTGAAGGTAAGGCTAGTGAAAGATCTCCTATCCACTTCAAAGCCTCTGAAGTCGATTTTCTACTTTAAACGTAGTAACAAAAAAACCCTCCTACAGGGGAAAGTCTGACAACTAACACTAAGCTTAAACTGACTGTTGATACTTTCATTAAAGAATAAAAATTGTGTAACACTAGAACACTTCAAAGCATCAGTTTATTGAAACTATTTTTTTGACCAAGTTATCTAACAAATCAACCACAAATTTTATTTTCATTGTACAGTCTCAAGGACTTTTAAAATGTAATCTTCTTAATGGCACATCACTCATTGCCCCAGTTTAGCAATTACGTATTCTTGCTACATATACTTTTTCTCCAAACTCCTGAATTTTTTTCTTTATAGTATTAGAGAGGTAATACGTCTGACAGTTAACTATTACACACCGCCCAGTCATTACAAGAAGCAGTAACGACGTGTAATTTAGATGGAGTGCACTGATTACTTCTTGAAGGGCTTAAATTGAAAAGGAAGAGGTTTATAAAACTTCTCTGAACCTTAAACCAACAATTTGTATGTGTGATAAATTCTTCACTCACATGTTGGCCCTGATCATGCTTGTTCCTCCTTATGGAAGCATTCAAATCAAAGCTAATGCGACTAGTTACCAGGGTTTAGTTTTATGAGATTTGTACTTATAAGGTCCACAATATCTATCTCCAAAAGCCTCATCCTCTCCATCTCTTACCCAAGAGCATCCCCATGTAACTTCCTTAACTTTTCCGTCTGCAATTGAGACCAAATATTTGTGGCACTCACAAAGAGATATCAAAAGAGTTTGCACTTTCAGGACATTGATTTATTTGATACAGTATTTTACATGCTCCTGAATATACAATGGATATAAAATCCACATTTGTTTCTCCTAGAAAGAAGACGTATGAAATGGAGCGGAAGCTGAGCTTTGCATAAATTCATTTGGCCTTCTGACCTGATTTATAGTTGGTTTATCAGGTGGGTCCTGGTGAATAACCATCTGGTAACGTTTATAGACCTGGTAAGACTCCTGAAATGTGGCTTTGAACTGTGAACTTGGTGGAGATGATCTCACCACCCTCACCTTCAGAAGAAGTTAAACACATTTATTGTTACAATATCATGCAATAACTATATATTTGTACATATACAAACATCAAAACAGAGAGAAATTTTTAATTCCTGCACAAGGGCCCTAACAATTTAATTAATATTAGCCAATAGCCTTCCAATTCTTCAACTCAATTTAGGCTATTGAAGGCCTTTATATTTACACTGAATAACATACAAGGTTTTATGTATGTAGACTATGTAGACTAAAACGCCTACACAAGAACTACACAGTTTTTAGGAAATAATACCAATAAATGGTACGCAGATTGACATTTTAAAGAGATTTTTCTGTACTTTTTTTAAAATCTTCTCCTGTAGTTTCACACTATACTGAAAAATACTTGAAGGACTCGTGCATTTGGAAAACTCATATCTGTGCTCTTTAGATAAAGACTATGTTTTTTTGCAACAATCCCAAGGGGATTTCTCGATATTTTTCAAATTGAAAGAGGAAGATGAAACAATGTTTCCATATTCAGTTACAAGTTAATTGTAATAGGAAGTTATCTGTCTTCCCCACCATCACACACAAAAAAAATAAAATAATTTTTTTTTTTTAAAACTACAAATTAAAAATTGTTCTTAGTAAAAATTCTTGCTCCCTAACCAAAAGAATGCTATCACATGAGCAACAGTGCATTTCTTTTCAAGCATATTTAAGGACATGTTCATTTCAAAAAACACTTAATTTTCAGTATGGTTCTGATCTACAAAAAAAACCAAAACACCACACTTGACAGCCATAGTAAGGACCAAAGACAGTCTGGGAAAACACTGCTGGAACCATCCTCCTTCTAATTCTCCCTGCATCTTGTAAATGAAGATGTGCAGGCAAAACCATCGTACTTCTGTTATACAACTCATCAGAAAATCTGGAGGAGTTAGTGAGATGGATCAATTTCATGGCTTCTTGTCAGTTATTCAGGGTGAATCTTTTAAGTCATCATCACTACCTCTTTGAATAATTACCAAAAGAACATTAAAAATTTAACTTCCAATGCCATCATTGATAATAGTAACTCCAGGAAAATACTTATATTCATATAGTTTTCCAGCTTCCAGAAAAAATAAACAAAAAAAATGGTTTTATGGGTTAGAAAGTCCAAAAGTCTTCCAGATGACTGTCTCTATATTACTAATAGATTTAATGGCAACCGGTAAATTAAGCAAAGTTTTCTACCATCACTTTTATGGCTTCCAAAGACATCAAGACACATCAATGACATTTATAAAGAGCATCTATCTTCTTATCTGTTTAATTTTATGAACAGTTACTACTTTCTTGTCAAGATTCATTAGCATAGATAGTTTAAGTATTTATATACTGCAGAACTAAATATTGAATCTCTCTCATCATTCAACACTCAGTTAATTCAAAGTCTTTCATTTTCAAGTCACACTGTATGAAATCAATTTACAAGTTATTTTGGTAACTGCACTGGTCTCTGCTATGACTGACTGCAAGTGCAAGAGTACCCTCTTGTGGTTACACAGAGCTCAGCTGCACCATATATATATCATGCAGTACCACATACATTCCAAGATTTAAACTATAACCATTCCATAAAGTCACAGATGCTAAACACCTAACCATTTCAAAAACTCCTTAACTAGACTTTTCCTTAATTTGCCTCCAACAACAGTGAATGAGATATTACCTCTAATTTGTGCGGTGCATCATCAGGTAAAGAGACAAAAATGAAGTCTTCAATGGTTTTAGGTTGGTTTGTTTTAGATTTAGAGTTTTGCAAGAGGAAAATTTGATCTCCTGCTTGAAGTGGAGAGCCTTCAAAGGTGCACATCTGGTTTTGAAGGAGTTTCTGCAGTTTTCTTTCTTTCCGTATGTCCTTTGCTTTTCGACATGGTGGCTTACTCAGATCGGCCCCTTTGCCTGCAAGGGCATAAGCAAAGAATTAAACACCACATTTTGCAACAAACAGGTAGTTCTTACATAATCACTGAAAATAAATGGTTAAAACCACCATTAACTGCAGACCTTAGTCTGGACATAACATGTCTTTCCCATTTACAACTACCAACAACACCTCATGCCAAACTAAGTTGCAATGATTTTTCCTCTACAGCTGTTTAATGCAGCACTTTAATGGAAACACCTTGACCACGATTCCACTCCAGAGCCAAGGATATATTTAAAAAATAAAATGAAAAGGCTTCCTGCTAAGTCTATCCTTAAATCATTTTGCCACAGCCCCCTCTCAGAAACAACAAAAAGTTCCTGTTTAATGTATGGTATGATGGTGTACTACATCCAAACAGCTATAGGATCAGCTTGAAATACTGAAAGGAAAAAACACAACCACAAAACCTCGCAGCCAAATTCACAGAGAATTGTTCTACTGCATTAAAAACCCAGGTGGCTACACAACAGACTCCTGTAGAAGACACACACACAAAAAAAGGATCTATTTTTTGTCACCTGGAATCCTTATGCAGTATATAGAAATGCTGCCAATGCCAGTGCCATTAGTACCAATGCTACTTACATCATGTAAAAGAAGAGTAAAAGGTCACATAAGCTTACATAGAATCATCATAGAATAGTTAGGGTTGGAAGGGACCTCTAAAGGTCATCTAGTCCACCCCACCTGCCGTATGAGCAGGGACATCTTCAACTAGATCGGGTTGCTCAGAGCCCCGGCCAGCCTGACCTGGAAGGTTTCCAGGGAGGGGGCAGCCACCACCTCTCTGGGCAACCTG